TAAGACTAAGTTTAATTATTTCACAAGTCGAGGAAATCAAAGAGAAATAAAATCAATCTTAGTAAGAATGAATTTTAACATATAGTATAAAAGTACCCGGATGACGGAGCTTTGTTCGGTTTTTTTAAGTTATATTTATATACAAATTACATGAGTACTAGTTTTTGATCTTATTGACATAATAGAAAAAACTGAACTGGTTATTTGAATAAAAAATCATGAGTGCAATTAGATTAATTAAAATTTTCGTATTTTTAAAAAATACTAAAAAAAAGGGCTCGAAATAATAGATTTTCTCACAAAAGAAGGGAACTTGAAAAAAAAAAAGGAAAAAAGTCGGACTCAAGACGGGACGCGAACCACGGAAGACCGATATCACGCCCGAACAATATCCCATCTGAGCTATTACGATCGTTAGTAACCTGTCAAAATTTACCTTCTTATATTGTAGCAGTTTTTTTATTGCCTAAAAGATTTGGCCTTTCTAGTTTTTACCGAGTTAGATTTTTACATTAAGCAGTATTTTATTGTTTATGCAAAGTGTTTTTTTTTTGTTAAACTAAAATGACAAATGATTTTTTTACATAGGGAAGAGACTACGCATACTGCCTCACGGGGACAAGGACGGGTTTAGTTGGACTCGCACTGACTAAAACCCCATGGTGCTTCATCTGCGTTGCATATTGGCAGGGTCAGTGGACGCTTTCGCACACATCAGCGGCCCCTCATCGGGAGAGGACTACTCCTCCCCATCTCCTTATCAGGTAAGGCGCACCAGAATACATGGCGCGCCGTCTTTCGTGGCTTGCCCGAAAACCATAGGCCAGAAAAACAAGCACTCATAAGCCCTAGCCGTTCTAGGGGCGGATTTGGTCTATAGCTCCGTCGCCAACCAAGATTTACATGTGAATAGTACCGATACTCCTTTCCCCACCACAGCTCCGCCACTACCCCATAAACGGTAAGGCCCTGTCAGAATTGCGGAAGATAGGGCCAGTGGCGCATCGCCATACCAACAATCCTCTTCCTCCGTGACTTCACCTTTGCTGCAACAGTAGGGGGAGAGGACACACATCTAGCTGCAGCCCTTGGTGGGCTCACACATTCGAAGTATGTTCGCCAAGCCCACTCGAATTTGCTCTTTGTTCACTACGGGTGGCCAAGCCACGGCTATCAAGCCCCCACGGTAAGGCAGGAACCCTTTGGGGGGGGGGAGATGATAAGTGACTACTGCAATTCATAGACGCCTGAAGGCAATTTTAAACATTGTCACATCTATTATCTCACAGCCTGTCATTATACTGACTCTCAATAGCTTTCAAACCGGAATACATTAATGCAAGCACTGTTTTCGGCGGTACAAAACAAAATGGTTGTCAGAACAACCCAGGTGGACTTCTGGACAGGAAAGTAGTCCTACTAATGAAATTATTTTTATTATGTGGAAATCATTTTATTTTTCTAGTTTTTAAGGTCGGTTTTTAGGTTTTATTCAAATTCAAATTTTTTACTCCTTAATGGGGACTAAGGAATATCACAAATTGTTGGTTACATTTATAACTTTATTACCTCACACTTAATTGTAATGTAATATAGAAACTCAATCTTTATTTAAACTGAAACTAAAATTTTTTGAGCTTGGTGAAAAATATGTTATAGCCGATAGCGTGTTATAAGTTATAAAAAATGTTATTGCTGGTATCTGTATTACTCTTGCAATAAGTATTTTTGTCATACTTTTTTTATATAATATACAACTTTACAAAATTTAAAAAATCACAAACTCTGTCTAAATTCTACATTCCAGAAAATCGTGAAAAAGCTGTTAATGCTTTGTGAAAAACAGCAGACGAAAACTTCATTCAAATTGCACGCGGTGATAAAAAAAAAAACGGTAGCTTCACCTTAGCGATATTCTTAAAAATGCTACTTTTGTATTTGTTTTTAATATTCCACGATTTTGAATTAAGATATTTTTATATAGAATAAGGGTGACAAACGAGAAAACAGTCCATCTGATCGTAAATGAATGCTGTGGACCATAGAATTCTACATTTATCCTCGATTAAGAATCAAAACGCAGATGCGTTGTCACCCCTAAGGAACAAGATCTCTACACTCACCATATGAAACACAGAAGTATTAAACTGCTATTTTACGCTGATATTCGTAATGTGTAATCGTGAGAGGTTGGCCTTCCCAGGTCGAGCTGACCCATTCATGCTACAACCATAATATAGCTGCAGCGTGGCTCTACCACGTATAAAATATTATTACTTTCATATAATAATATGTATATCAAAATATAAATAAATCAGTTTTATTCATTAACTATTTCTCTTTGTTATAGAATAAGTAACTATTATTATTATTTTATTATATTATTAACCGATATCCTTATTATTACACTATCAATTGAGCACACAATTCACCTGATGTTAAATAGACGTTGTGGTCCATAGACATCATTTATCATTTTAGAATTAAAATGCAGTTAGAGATAAAATGCAAAGTACTGAGATGGAACGCCTCGTTTTCAGAACAAAGGCTCTCCGGTTCTTTACACTCGCCATACGAAACACCGCAGCTTTAAGATAATATTTTACCCTTGTTTACGTGAGCGTAGTTCTTCCCCGGTCGAGCCAGCGGCCGAGCGGCGGTCGACATTTTTGATCAGGTGAGCTGCATGCTTGTTTTCTCGCTGCCCATGAACAATTGCAACACCTGTTTAAGTTACTTGATTTGCACACCACTAAGGTAGAATATGTAGAACGAATTATACTCAAACACCATTGTACAACCATATTCTCGCAAATAAAGACTATTATTATTATTATAACACCAGGGGAATTGCAGGTTCGTTACTGGCCTTTCAGATAGGAGTAAGTTCTTTAACTGAAGGCCTATAAGTCGTATTGGTTCGGAAAAATTGCCGGTGGTAAACCATTCTACAGAGGGTTGAATGATCCTCTCTGTTGTTCACGCTAAACTTTTAAGAGGTCAATTTGGCCTTCTCTTCCAAGTGACCATGAAACTGCACATCACTTGAAATGTCGGCGCCAAGCATTCTGATACTGGCTACGAGAACAAGTGTAGTGCATTGAAACTGAGGAGTTACAACAAAGTGGTTCCTGTTAATGGTAAACGTGCAAACTTTTTGCCTCCAGTCCGAGACTTTGTTCAGCAGACTCAACTTCATGCGCAAGTATGTTCCGGTCAACTGGTGCTCCTCCTGTTATCGCGTGTACTGGTAGTTAATAATGGACTCCGTTATTTTCGAGAACAAGGAGGTGACCACCATCGAGGAGGTGGTTACCATCAGGCATAGAGTATTCACACCGTGGAGTGGTAGGTGGTGCGTCCCCCCTTCGTTGATAGACTGAGTTCTAGATGGACGTAAAAAAGGATCCTTAAAGGTCGGCTTTTTCTTTTTCAGCGTGCACCAGTGAATCATCCTCCCTGTGAACCATAGAAATTATTGCTTAAAGGAATTCTCTTGGATAGCCTTGGCAAGACCAAAGTGCACAGGTTTCCAATGGATGATGAAAATTTCTAATTTAAATCTGGTCCGAAGGCGTTCGCTATGTCCAAACTAACCGCCACGGCGTCCCCCTTGGACTCAATCACCTGGACCCATCGGTGTGTTAGGTAAACAAGAAGATTATCAGCTGAGCGACCCCGACGGAGGCCGTACAGATGGTCACTAATCAGCTTGTGTCCCTCAAGATATCGTGTAAACTGGCAGTAAGTGATTGACTCCATTATCTTCGTGAACAAGGATGTGATGGCCATAGGCCTATAATTTTACGCATCAGAGCGGTTACAGCAGGAATCGCGTGAACGAACGCTGTCTCCCATGAATTAAGGTCTGTGCCTAGAGAGTACGACTACCGGAAAAGACGCGTTAGAACCGATACCAACTTGGAAGCATATGTCCTCATCACAATTGGGGGGATTCCGTCAGGCCCACTCGACTTGTTGAAATCCAGGGAGAGGAGTGCTTTGCGAACTAAGCACTGTGTGGACTGCACATCTTTCACGGAGCACACATACCCGGGATGGTCAGCAATGTGCTCCTTGCGTCATCGGGAGTCGACTTGGATGCAAAAAGAGCAACCTATCCTAACAGATCGGCTTTCTCCTTTGCGTCAAGTTCGCGGCAAGCGATATACATGTTAACGTCGAGTCCGTGATAAAAAATAATTTAAAATTGTAAAACCAGTGAAATTCTTACTTTACTGTACCAAAAACTGTAAATAAACATCCAAAGTTATAGTGACAGTGTTATTTCCGCAATTGTGATCCATTTACACATAAAAATAACAATTTCAAAAATAATTTTATTCTGCTACAAGTACCTACTAGTGAAAGTAATAAAAACTAAACAAAAAAGTAAAAACACAGTGAACACAGTGAAAAGTGATCGTATACAGTGACAAAAACATTACCATATTCACAAAATAATAAAAAATGATATCAGTGATTAACATCGACTGAGCAATAAATTTTTGCAGCATGAATCATAATAACGATCTCGGTACATTTTAAATAACAGTAAGCAGCAAGTACTCGAAAATTTTAATACAATAAGCAAAAGACAGACTGGTGTGGTGGTATGTGCCTATAAACACTTGTACCGCACAAGAGATTGTGTGTTCGTATCGCGCAGCATTTAGCGGATCTTTTTCATAATTTATGTTGAAAGTTATTTCGACATCAAATTTGCGTATTTATTACTAACTTCTTATTTCAATTGATATCCGAATTTGTATTTCTATTAAGATTCTAATTGATATTTAAATAGTGCTCAATTGGATTATCCACAATACTCTTTAAAAAACTGAGCAAATATAATGGCATCTTCATAGAACAACGTTCTAAAAATAAAATGCGACAAATGCAAAACCTTACTTACCAGACGTGAACACCTATCTTGTTCACAATGTAAGCGCAAACTTGACCTGGTATGCGCTAACGTTTCATTTCATCGATTTAATATCATGGATGCAGAGAGGAAAAAGAGCTGGAGATGTGATAAATGCGTAAATAAAACTTCTTCTGCAACAAAAGCGGGGCCATCGTCCGTCTCAAAACAAGCAGTAAATACACCACAAAATAGTAGTAATATAAGCTCCAACTTGTCAGATGAAAACTATTATGTAACAAAGAGAAACCACAAAAAAACTAGACTTCACGTCTCCTCGGAGGAATTGGCACATAACTTAACCGAGGACTATGCGAGTAATACCTCGTCAACGTTACTTGAAGACACGCCGAAAAGTTTACCAAATTTATCAGTTGATGATGACTCAGAACTTATTGAAGAGATCAACCTGCTTAAGACTCAATTAGCTAGCGCCCATGCGGAAATTGAACGATTAAATATACAGGTCACCAACCTTCAAAAGATAATAGAAAGCCAACAAAAAAAGAGCAAAATATTTAAACAACTACTTTCCGAGCCTAGTCCACGAAAGTTGACTCCATCGAAATCTGTCAAAATCAAGCACAGACCACTCCGAAATATTGCTCTAGCATCCTCCCCAAAAAACACTCCCAGTGACGATGATATAGCAAACTTTGAACTGACTACTTTACCTGGGACAAAGGAAATAAGACAGCATGAAATGGCAAACAATTCCAAAGAGACGACACCTACAGTATCTTTCAATGAACAAAGCCAGAGAATTGTTATTATTGGCGATCAAACAGCACGGAACATGGCGACATCTTTAGCACAAACAAGATCTAATTACAAAAATCCGAAGAAATATTTTATCAGTGGAATAGTATATCCAAATGCAAGTATTGAACATGTAATTCAGTGTTCTAAAATTATGATTGAAGAACTACAAGAAGACGACTGGCTTGTTCTGTGTCTAGGATCCAATGACTCGAACCCAATTAAAATAGGCGTGGAGCTGTCGTCATTACTTAAGAAACAAAATAAGGCAAAAATATTAGTGACCAGTGTAATTGAAAACCCGTATCTTAATGTAAAAAGGCTCAATTCCCATATTCAAACTATTTTAAAGTGTTTCAAAAATGTCAACTACCTAGATTTAAGTTACAATGGTATATACCCGTATCGTAGAGTAAATAATGTGATAGATACAATTGACTACAAAAAGTATTTCCTATGTAATTCAAAAAATAACAATGGCATACCAAAAGCTGACTGCAGGTCACTGGAAACCAATATAACCGCAAAGCCAGGCACCATCCCTTTCTATTTTAAAACTCTTAGAAAACATAAAACGGCTAATGATGGGTCAATCCCTATTAACAAAAAAGTGGAACCTCCTAAAGGCACGATTCCATACTACTTTAAGACAGTAAAAAAATACGTTTGTACACAAAAAGACACTGATCAGCTTTTTCGTTAGGAACGACAATAAACACAACTCTTTTCGACTTCTTCATCAAAATATAGCTGGTGTACTAAATAAAATTGACATTATAGACTTGACGCTAACAGAATTATCACAATCTTATAAATCTATTGACGTCTTATGTTTAACTGAAACGTTTATACAGCGAGGTTGCGAGGCCAATTTGAATTTAAACGGATATAGGTTGGCTGCGTCGTTCTGTCGGCCGAAACAGAGACGGGGTGGCGTTTGCGTTCTCAGTAAAAAAGGATTGGAATGCAAACCTATTGATATTGCTAACCAACTTGCTTGTCTCTACCACTTCGAATGTTGTGGAATAGAAATCGCGCAATATAACCTTACCATTATTTGCATTTATAGAACACCGGATAGCAATGTTAATCTATTTTTTTACAAATTAAATGAGCTTTTATATCATTTAACAAACAAAAAAACGTGCAAAAAATATATATTATGTGGCGATTGGAATATAGATATCCTCAAAGAAGGAAAAAATACGTACGAGCTATTTGAAATCTTAGAAAGTTACAATATATCTATCCATATTAAAACCCCTACTAGGAAAAATGCATGTATTGATCAAGTAGCCAGCAATATAAGCAAGGTAGATGCCGAGATCTTAAACCTGGCATTATCAGACCATGAAACAGGTCAAGCCATATCATTTCAAATTCAAAGAAAATCTACTGTAACAACCTGGCATGAATTTCGCAGAGACTACAGTAAAGAAAACATTAAAAAGTTTTCTGACTGTCTATCGCATCTCTCCTTTTCGGAAGTGTACGATCAGACCAGTGTTGATGAGGCCTATAGATCATTCCATAACTTGTTAACTCTATTTCATGGACTTTGCTTTCCTATAATTAAACTTACGAGAAACAACATGTGTAATAGAGGTAGGTGGAAAACAAAAGGTATAAAAAAGTCAAGTATTACAAAAAAAACTTTACCTAACCTATAAATACTCAAAAACTAATAAAATGTTAAATAAAAATAAATACGAAAAATATAACTATCTTTTGAAAAAGTGCATATATAAAGCTCAACAAAAAACCAACTTAAAATACATTCTTAATAGTAAAAATACTTGCAAAGCTGTTTGGAATTCAATAAATTCAAGTATAAATGAAACTACCCAAATTAATAAAATTGACGTAATTAAATTTAATAACCAAACAATTAGTAACCCTGGCATGATATGTGAATTATTTAACAATTTTTTTATTGACCTAAGTCACATCAATAATACAAATAAGTCTGCTAAAAATTCTGCTCAACCAAATATAGATACAAATCCAAATACAATTTTCTTACAACCAACGGAACCAGCGGAAATTAATAAAATAATCAAAGAATTAAAAAAACACGAATTCAGTTGGCTACGACGAACTCAGTACCGAAATACTAAAGTCATGTGCCTGTTATATCTGTACACCACTGAGTTTCCTTATAAACTTATCATTTGTCGAGGGCTCATTCCCGGAACATCTTAAGATTTCTATAATAAAACCAGTTCACAAAAAAGGAGATGAAAAAGATCTCAAATAACTATAGACCAATAACTTTGATCCCCGTAATATCAAAGATATTTGAGAGAACTATGTACGATAGAATAAGTAAATTTATACAAAAATTTGGTATCTTAACTGAAGATCAATTCGGTTTTCGCAAAAACAGATCCACGACTCTAAGCATGCTTCAATTTTATTAAAGACATAGCAGAGAGTATCGATATAAAAACTCCTGTAACTGCTCTCATGCTGGATATGACCAAAGCTTTTGATCTTGTTGACCACAAAATTCTATTAAAAAAAAATTGAAAGTTACGGGATAAGAGGTACGGCTTACACATGGCTAAGCAGTTACTTGCAAGGCCGAAAACAATGCACAGAAATCACTTGGCTAACGCAAGCACGACAAGACAGCATATTTACCAAAGAACAACATCGTTCACAGTTTAGATTCAATGACCGTGGTATCCCTCAGGGTAGTATTTTAGGACCTTTATTATTTTTGCTATATATTAATGACTTGTCTAAAACAACCAATCATAAATGCATCTTGTTCGCGGACGACACAACTTTTATATTTAAATGCACCAAAAAAGACATATATGAAACCGAAATAAATAATTCTATTAACACTATTGTGACATGGCTTAATTCAAATAATCTTTTACTTAATATTGACAAAACAAAAATAATACAAATTGGGAATTACAAAATGGAACCTATAAATATGAATATAAAATTGAAAATTCAAAGATAGAAAATGTTGAATCAGTTATGTTTTTAGGTATAAAAATTGACAAAAATTTAAACTGGAAGCCTCACATTGACCAGATTTGTACAAAATTAAACCGGTTTATATATGCTTTAAAAAGATTGAGAAAAACAATATCACAAAAAGCAGCCCTAGCTGCTTATCACGGTTATGTGTCGTCAGTATTATTATATGCTCTGCCTTTGTGGGGAAATTCTGTCGATATGATTAGAGCGTTTAAATTACAAAAGAAATGTGTGCGAGCGATATGTGGTGCGTGGTTTCTTGATAGCTGCAAGCCTTTGTTCAAAAAGATACGTGTATTGCCGTTGCCATGCATGTATATTCGAGAAACATGTATTTTTGTAAAGCGACACCCGAACTACTTCAAAACCCACGCTGAATCTCTCGAAAGGCAAACAAGGCATAAAAACAGATTATTTCATTCTAAATGCAGCTCTAGATTTTATGCAAATAGTGCTCCTATAATGGCTATTAAAATATATAATAAATTGCCCAATAACTTAAAAGAAATGCCTTTGAATAAATTCAAAATTGAGATTAATAAATGGCTTCTTGACAAGTGTTATTATAGTGTTAAGGAATATTTTAATTAATTGCGATATTATTTAATGTATTCAATAATTTATTTAATTTTTTGACATATTATATGTACAATTAAATTTGATTATTTTAAGATATATTTGCACACCGGTACAACTCCCGGCAGAATATTATTGAGACTTACTCTTATACTAAATACCTGTATTACCTAAACATTTTATTCTGCAAATAAAGATTTTGACTTTGACTTTGACTTTGTCATTAACCAGTGAGTCGTCCTACCTGTGCAGAGATGTGAGATATGACTGGCAGAATTTCCCTTGGACAACCTTGGCGAGAGATCAGAATGCCCGTGTATTCTGGTCTCTCAGCAAGGCTTCACAAAGAAAGGCAAACTAGTTTTTCGCCAATTCGGCCTATGTGCTCTGACTTGGCAAAGACTCTTTTGAAGGACCTAAAGGCGGTATTATACTTCTTTTTAAGTATGCTGGTTTACACCCCGAGCCGCTGAAGCGTCAGGTCAGGCGTGATAGTATTCCTGCTTAATGCATTATCGTCTTACAAGACCGACCAAATCAAGGTTGAGATCTGCTTCCGATGCGTACCACAGATGATGGAATATGATGATAGCTCCAATTTCCCGTAGCAACAAATCAATGGCATAGTCAGCAAAAGCGATGGGATCATTCTACGAGGAGCAAGCCCTCCTTCATGGGAAGGATGCACACACGGTGACAGCGAGCTGAACGCAGTCAAGAAGGAAGCATGAATGGTTTAAAGAGCCAAGAGGGGCATTAACGGACCTAATATCTATCCGAAGGAGAGGTCAGCAGAAGGTCCAACAGGGAAGGTACAGGATTTTCCACATCTGGGATTCGCGCAGGCAAAATAACCACTTATTTCAGACATATGCCAAGGCAAAGTTTTAAACATATCTCCCCGCATGATCCGTTAAATGTAAACCAAGACCATTTAGCGTGATGGGCTTTAAAATGGTCAAGGATCAAGGATCACGATCTCTGCGGATGAGATCTGTTGTAGCAATTTGTAGTCATTTGTAGCCATTACCGCTATGGGACTTAAGACCGAATTTATTTTTTATTTTTATAGCAGTAAAATTTATTCAAATACCTGTATACTCTTCCATAAAATTTTGATTCAATTCTTATCGTACTTTTAGTTAGGAACTTAAACGGTCTCACTGCTCCGTCGATTCGGTGGAAGAAAGACAAGTGTCGAGTCTTTTTTAATCTGTATACGATCGAACAAATCGAGTAAAAGTCTTATTCCGTTACACATTTGTTCTATATATGCCAAGTAATATTACAGTCAGCAGAATGAACTATTGATTTAGATTCAAATAACTTTCTTATTCAACTTTAACAAAGTGAATCTTGTGGTTTTATTGAAGAAAAGCTAACATTTTTTTTAATTTGATTATACTTATTTTACACACACATACATACGTCCTTTATGTTCCCCTCGACGTTGGTTGGTTAAAAGAGATATTTCTGGTACGATAAATTTCAGAAAAAAGGGTAAACTTCAAGGAACTTTTAAATTTTTTTAATAAAATTCAATATTAAGCGGAAAGACTCTTCTACATACCAGCCTTTTATCTATTTCTGCGGATAAATAAAGAGCACTTGTACTGTTCTGTGGTTCTGTGGTGGTTCTGCGGAGGGGTATATAGACCCAGTACTATAGTTACAGCCTATGATGCATTCCATCTTAATTATTTACATACAAGAACGCACGTTCCAGTTCGTTTTAAGAAAGATTGTTCAAAGGAAACGGTATAACTTCATTTAGATTTACCATAAAAACAAACTGAACAGCTTCCACCAATCACAAAACTGCTAGTTTTATTTCCCAGACGGATCTTAAAACAACTCTTAGATTATGCGTTACCGATATGAAGCAATTTGATTGCTAGACCATTGGGAAATCATCCTGCGGCGTCCATAAATCTAGAATAATATTTATGAGCATTGTCATAATTCATTCTGGTAATCTAGATATAGGAATGTATTATGTTGTTAATATGATGGATTCCTCACTTACTTATTTAAAATAAATGATTGATGATAAATAAATTAATCTATCACAGCATTAGAAATTTTCCATTGGCCAACATTTGTGGAAAACAAAATGTTTATACTTCTTTCCAAGTCTCCTCAAATATTAGCACAATAGATAAGGTCGGGTACTTCTGCATTAGCACATGTAATTGTGGTTGTTTACGTTAAATAGTTAAATCAAAGTCGACAGTAAAAATTATTACAATATGTTCATACATACATATAAACACACATAAGCAATCACTCTTGTCATTTAGAGGGTAGGCAGAGACTACAGACCATTTTCATGATCATGGCTAGTGGCATGGCATATCTCTATATGGCATACCTCTCTTGCCTCCTCCACATCCATACCATACGCTTACACACTGGTCGTTTAAGGGTACACTTGATTTGCCCGATCTTCAATCTATTGCCAATTTGGTCGATACACTTTCACCTAGGGCGTTCCTTCCCGACTCTGCCGTCACTTCTGCAACATAGATTTGCTTTGTCAATCTTTTCTCGTTCAGCCTTTCTACATGATGAAACCACCAAAACATTCCTTTCTTAATCCTGGTCACAATATCATCTTGCAAACCACACTCTTCTCTTATTTTACAATTTCTCTGTAATTTGTTATGTTGTTGTAATTCTCACAAGCTTCAACTATATTATGAATGGAGCACGAATGGGTCGGTTCGTTCGGGGAAGTACTACGCTTTCACAGATTACCAGCGTAAAGTAACAGCTCGATGCCGCCATGATTCGTACGGTTAATATAGAGGAACGGAGAACCTTTTTACTGGAATCGATGGAGGCATTCCAGGCAGGGCAGGGCTAACCTCAGGGGTGGCAAATCGTCTGAATTTTGAATCTTAATCGAGTATAGTTGTAAATGTCTAAGGGTGATAGCATCCGCTTAACATCGGGTGGACTGCGTGCTCGCTTGACGCCCACCTTCTATAAAAAAATGTTTACAGCTCTTATGAACGTCAAATTTTTCTAGCAGTCATTGTCTCCCCCGTTTCAATTTACTTTTCTTAAGAAAAAATAACCATCCATTTTACATGAGAATGATTAAATGGAATTATATTATGATAGTACATAATATTATAATTGCACACCTCGTCGAAACGGGGAGATCGGTCTCTACTATCGACTTATAATGGTTCGATTTTATTAAATATCGTTTATATTATTTTGTCAGCTAATAACAAGCGCAGAAAAAAAATTAATTTCTTTATTCTCTTAATTAACTCTTAAATTTAACAGGAACACTTAATAGTCATTGCACATTTAACAATCTTTAAAATTCACTGCGGAGAGATAAGTAATATCAGCATGAACTTTTTAATCTATTTTCATAGATTTGTTTGAAAGTTTTTGTTTTAGTTTTAGCTAACATAACTTCAACATTATTTTTTAACAGATAGCCAAAGATTTTCAAACATTGAGTCACAAGGAAACGTTTTACACGTTGTGAATAGCTGAATTTGTAAATATTTCTTCATTTTCTTGCATTATAGAAAATACAGAATGTAAGCATTTAAAATTCTCAAAGAGACCAATTTATGTATTATTTATTCAGAATTCGTGTATGAATATAGTTTCTGATATTCAAAGCAATATTATAATCTTGCTTTGAATATCAGAAACTATATTATATAGTAATTCATTCTAGGTATATCGAAACACCGATAATTGTTTTTGTAAATACTTCGTACATACATTGATACATGATGACATTTTGTATGATAATTTTATAACTATTCAAAAATTTTTTTTCCGCTGATATTATAATTTGTAAGTATTAGCATAAGAGTCAGTGGGCGGCAGACTTACGGTATTTAAATAAGCTTCACATATTTTCAGTTTATCACCTATACCTGAGGTACATTGTGGGCCAGAAAGTTTGGTGGATTTGAAAAAATCATTAAAAAAGGAGAAATATTATACAAACTTTATTGTAATAAAAATAGGTACACGGGAAAATATTTTTTGAAAACGACAACCCCAAGATGTGCACCATTGCGCTGCAAACACTCCTCCAAATCTGGATCTGAGATTATCGAAAACTCGCTGGCACATTGCTCTTGGAATAGCCGCCATTTCTTCTTCGATATTGGTCTTCAACTGGGAAATCGTGGTTGGATTATTGTGGTAAACTGTACTTTTCATGTATCCCCACACAAAAGTCTGGTGGTGTCAAATCCGGGCTTCTGGGCGGCCACGCAATATCACCTCGGCGCGATATGAGTTTTCCTCTAAACCTCTCCTTTACGACTGCTATCGAAGCATCAGATCAATGGCATGTCGCACCATCTTGTTGAAACCATATTGTACGGTTATATATTTTGAATTCTTGCAGTTGTGGAAAGAAAAAATCTCTTAACGTGGCTGTGTATCGGTTCGAATTTACTGTCATTGCCCCCGCTGATTTTCAAAGAAATACGGACCTATGATCCCACGTGCAGAAATGGCTGCCCAAACCGTAACTTTTGGCGAATGCAGAGGCTTTTGATGTTTGGAACGTGGATTTACTGTAGCCCAATAACGGCAATTCTGTTTATTCATTCAAATGGAAATGGGATTCATCGGAAAAATAATATTGTTGAAACTCCTAAAACACTCCAACATTGTTTTGCAAAAAACACGGCTTAAATTGAGGTTATTTGGCTTCAAGTCCTGCACAAATTGAATCTTATATGGTTGAAACTTAAAATCTTTCGTTAAAATGCGTCGCAAAGTTGTTCTGGATACAGCGAGCTCAGCTGAACGCTTGCGAGTTAATAGACCAGGATTACGTTGCACGGAAGTTTTAACTTCGTTAATTAATTCTTCTGTTCTTGTTGACCTCGGGCATCCCGATGGTTTCTGATTGAGAGTTGACCCAGTAGACTCAAACTTTCTGACCCAAGACCCAATCACACTTTCACTGGGACATTGATTTAGTTCGTGTAATTCGTACTTAGAACGGTATAAACGTCGAACAAAAGTACACGAATCGTTATTTTTGTAATAATTTTATACGCAGAACGCACGTTGTGCACCAGGGAAGCGCTCCATGACAACTAATTTTTCGCGGACAAAACTACATACTTATTCCCTTGCAACTTATTGTTTTCAAAAATTTTTGACACGAAATGGGGACTCTGTAGTTTGACCGGCGGTCGTTATAGAGACGCTCAGGTGTTAAAGGTTTAAAAAATAAAATGACCAAAAGAAACGTGATAACGATGAGTTTGCACCGTTGACTTCTTGAAATATTCAATAAAAGTTACCGAAAAATAACATCGGCAGGCACCTATAATGATTTCAAGGTTATGGCAGACAGCTTGAAAAGTATACATTTTTATTAATAATTTACGTTATTTCAATAAAGCTGCAATTTATATTTATATTGTTAATAATATTATTTGACATATGTATATTTTTTTATGACAGACATATATTTTTGTTCTATAACCCTTTTATATTATATTATTATATTTATTTATTATATATATTTATTTATTATTATATATGTTATATTATATATATTTATTATTATTAATTTAAAAAAAATGACATTAATTGAAAGCAAATACTATCGTTTCATATCGATTGCAATTAATAATAATTACTGGTTATAAAAATAATAAATGTAATTTATTTATTTGTGTTTCAATGTTGTGATGTGATAACAATATTAATTTATTCATGAAAATGTTTATTACATATTTAATAAAAATCTCAATAATTTTAAGAATATTCAAATCATCCTTGACTATCTGAATAGTAGCCTTCAGGTTCATCGTCAGATGCATCAATCCCATCGAAATCTACATTCTCATCGTCAGACGGAATTATTTCTTAAAAGAATAGAAAGTTTCAATTTGTAAATCAAGCTAATTATAATAAAATAAATAATGAAAAAGTATAAACTCATATAAAAGAAAATTACCTGGTGGATTTGTGACTAATTCGTTCATAAAACTGGGCAACTGATCTCCATTAAACCATTTAAATATATACGTATTATTTTCTTCAATCCAGCCGTACTCCGGTGGATCTACTAATACTGAACATTTTTTATGAGCCTTTTTCCAAATGCTATAAATATAATGCGGATGTATAAATTGCTGAGAGCTCACGTTCACACGGTGGTAAAGAGCTTCCATCACAACAAAGTAATTTTTTACTAAATTTTTCATTAACATCTTTTGATCTATAATTATTTATGAAAAGATGGAAACTGCCATCATGTACATCTATTGATTTCTTGGCAGGTAAACTTTTGGATGAAATTAAAAAGCTGTTGTAATGGGTTCTGAGCTAAATTACTTTCACCCAAAGCTGCGAAGACTTCTTGGTTTATCTGAGCTTTCTGTTGTAAAGTAAGGGGTCGTTTTTTCCTTTATTAAAAAGCTGGATTATAATCACAGCCCGTAAATTCATAGAAAACAAGCAAGATTTCACTCAATAAATTGTCACGTAGCTCATAAATTTTTGAAATATTTATGAATCGTTCATTATTTACTGCCCCGTGAGAAGCCACACTTGAGAAGAGCTATTTTTTAAATGTTGCTTCTAATAACAATATTTGCTTGATCGGCGATATTGCATGCATGATAAATTATTTTCTATCGGCGTCCTTATGTGACTAACAAGATTGTTCTTTAACAATACTGGACTTGATTATTATTAACATAGTACGAGTGACAATGATTAAAATTGGGGTGAATTTATTTGTTGTTAAGAAATGGCACTATTTCATCACTTGCTCAATATACCGCAAAAAATTAACGATATATACTTTAAATTTAGTACTTTTCATCTCTTTTGTAAAATCTGCTGATCTTGTTTGATCAGGCCCAGAGATGACATGACATACTCACTTTGTGACATTTCATGCCTTAGAAGCGAGTGTGCTTATTATACATATATTTTTATAACGCGTAATTATTATTAATTGCAATCAATATGAAACGATAATATTTACTTTCAAATAATGTAATACATTTTATTAAATTAATCCAACGACTGGATTAAAGTGAGTGCTATTAGTACGCGCTTATGGCCCCAGAAGTTTGTTGTCTACCCGGGTTATAGAAACACAATATAAATATGGCTGCCATAAAAATTATGATTATGTATGTCAAATAATGTTGTCAGAATATATATATATATATATATATATATATATATATATATATATATATATATATATATATATATATATATATATGTACGGAGTGACCGACATAGCCCAACGGATTAGTAAGCTGAAGTGCAATAAGCCGGCCATATAGCTCGAAGAACCGACAACCGTTGGGGAAAAAAGGTTCTCGAGTGGCAGCCTCGTACCGGTAGGCGAAATATACGGCGACCCCCCACTAGATGGAGTGATGACCTGGTAGATATGTCTGCCATGACCTTGAAACAATCATAGGTGTCTGCCAATGTTATTTTTCGGTAACTTTTATTTGAATATTTCAAGATGTCAAAGCGGTCTACTTATCGCTGTCACGTTTCTTTTGGTAATTTTTTAAATCTTCAATACTGGATCGTCCCTATATCGACCGCCGGTTAAACTACAGAATTTCCATTTCACGTACCTCAGGTATATTGAGGTATAGGTGATTAACTGAAAAAATGTGAAGAAGCGTACTATCATTACGTAGAGTAATGATAGTACGCTGCGAGAAAAAAAACCAACTAACAATGGTTATTATGCCTGCTTATTTTATTACTCGCTTACGTACAGTGTGTTGTGATTGTGGGAGACATTTTTCGATTGGCTGAATTGACTATTTGATTATATAATAATAATGATAATACTTTGGAATCTCATAAACCTTTTAATCACTGGAATTCGAATAAACTGCAATACGCATTAATAATTACGTTAATTATATCTCAGTGTTACAACTGAGTGACGATTGAGCTCCGTGAGGCGGCATTCGGCGTTGCATGATAATCTGCTGCTACTCCACATTTAATGTCTTCTAACATCAGAAGTGGGATCAATTCCCTATTATATTTGTTGACGCTCCTCTGTTATGTATAATCTGTAGTCATGAATTGATGGACCGAATTACACGAGTTTTAACCTTCAGGATTTTTACTGGTATTCCAACCTATATGAACTCCCACTGGCAACATTAAACGCCTATTTCATGTTAATACTACATATACTATTCAAATTAAAAAGTTTAAAATTCGTTTTTAAGTGAAAATTTTGGATTTTATTATTAGAAAAGGTGAAAACATATTGAAACACTCATTACATCACAACATACACGTTATGGACGATTGCAATGTAGTTTTTGCATTTTAATAACTTGTAGGGTAGATTAATTATAACGAGTAATGTTAAATCTACATATGAGACTGTACGAGCGTCCTGGAAGTACATAATTTTTCAATGAACGTAATATTATGTACATTGTATTCATATATTAAAAATTTAAATTGCTTATGTATGTAAATAACCTAAAGGGTAGATAATAAAACGCAAAATATAAAACCTATAAAAATATGTATGAAACAGAACGGGCGTCTGTAAGTACATAATTTTACAATAAACTCAAAATTTACCATGTATTATATTGAATACGTATATTGCTTATTTATTTAAAGACCCTTTAAGGTACATTTGAATAATAATATGAAACAGAACGAGCGTCTGTACATACTTTTTCAAATAAGTTAATATGTATCATCAAAATCATCATCATCACTACAGCCCTTCACAAGTCCACTGTTGAGCATAGGCCTCCCCCAAGTAATGCCACAAAGCACGGTCCTGAGTCACCTGCATCTATCGACTTCCTGCATGTCTTACCAGGTCGTCACTCCATCTAGTGGGGGGTCGCCCTAAACTACGTCTACCGGTACGAGGATGCCACTCGAGAACCTTTCTTCTCCATCGGTTATCGGTTCTTCGAGCTATATGGCCGGCCCATTGCCACTTCAGCTTACTAATCCGTTGGGCTATGTCGGTCACTCTGATTTTACTGCGGATATCCTCATTTCTGAGTCTATCATGCAGAGAAACTCCGAGCATAGCCCTCTCCATAGCTCGCTGAGCGACCTTGAGCGTCCTCATGCGGCCAGCAGTGAAAGACCACGTCTCAGATCCGTAAGTCATCACTGGCAACACGCACTGGTTATACACTTTAGTTTTCAGAGATTGAGGTATACATGACGAGAAGATGTGTCGTAATTTCCCGAACGCTGCCCAGCCGAGTTGAATCCGTCGATTGACCTCTCGGTCGAAGTTGGACTTACTTAGTCTGACTATTTGTCCCAGGTAAACGTAGTCGTCAACAACTTCGAGCATAGTGCTCCCAATAACTACCGGCATAGGTGTGACATGAACATTAAACATGATCTTTGTTTTGTCCATGTTCATCTTAAGAATAACCGGTGGGAAACACCATTGAGGTCATTGAGCATAGTGCTAAGGTCCTCCAGCGATTCTGCCATAAGAACTATATCGTCGGCAAATCGAAAGTGAGTGATGTACTCGCCATTGATGTTAATACCGTATCCTTTTCAGTCCAGTAGCTTGAAAACGTCTTCCAACGCAGCGGTGAAGAGTTTCGGGGATATAACATCACTCTGTCTTACACATCTCTGCAGTTGGATAGGTTTCGAACTTCGGTTCTGTACTCGGATAGCCATCGTAGCCCTACTGTACAAACACTTCAGCACTTCGATATACCGAAGTGCTGAAGTGTTTATACAGTAGTAGTAAATCAATATACAGTAAATATGTATATTGATTTTAAATTAATTTATATGTTAAAAATTTTGGTTTGGGTTTGAAATTAAGTCGCCTGAATTTGATGATCCTTTTTTTTTTTTGAATTTTTGAATTAAATGAGAGGAAAAAAATATTCTGTCACTATGGGGGAGTCAAGGGGGTTATGAAGCACCCCATGCAATTTTTGCTGCCGTAGCAGCGTCGAACTATTTTTAATTATTTTTAATCATATTGGTAAATCATTAAACGTGAAGAACGTGAAATGAAACGAACATTTAATTATACTCTAATGTTTTTGATTTTTTTTGCTATTTTTTGACAGTGACAGATATTCTTTACGTATTCGTTACGAGAAAAAAAGAATATTACCTCTATTCTTTTAACACCAGCTAAAGAGTTAAGAAAACTTATTTGCCCTAATTTTTTTCCAGATGGTCTAAAATGTTACATACAAAAAAAAAACTATCTCATAGTGGGTTCAGGTTTCGGTTCATTTGATCACATAATATATTGAATTTAGTATGTCAGAAAATATTATATTTAGTACAGCCGTAAAATTAATTAAAACAAGACTAGTTGTAAATGTGCTTTTACATATTGGATAATACCTGATATGATATATAGATGGTGGCATTAGAAAATAAAAAAGTATACATTTCTAGAATGGCTGTTAATTGGATTATAAAGTATTTTTTTATAAAATAAGGGTGACAAATGATCACATAATCCACCTGATGGTAAGTGGATTCAGTGGCCCATAGACATCTACATTTATCCCCTTTTAAGAATCAAAACGCCGATACTATGTCACCCCTGAGAACTAAGATTGAATGCCTCGTTTCCAGAAAAAAAGGGTCTTCAGTTCTCTACACTCACCATACGAAACACAGTAGTATTAAGTTGCTATTGCACGCTGGTATTCTGTGAAATCGTGTTCCTGCACGGGTCGAGCCTTCCCATGCATGCTACAACCATACAAATAAATATAGCTGTAACATGGCTCTACCACGTATAAATTTGAAATAAAAAAATCAATACATTAAAATAAATTTAAATTACTTGGTCTAAACTTATAAAATTATATAATTTTCATACCTAAAGTGAAACACAAATTATTCACATGAATTAAAGTTTAATTATTTAATTACAGTTCACCACAATGTTCTAGGATATTTGCTAATTTAATAGACAAATTAATATCTGTTTGTCTAGGTATCTCTTATGGGTAAATGCATACAAGACTTTTAAATTTATTATGTACTTTCTCCTGAATAAAGAGAATAACTTTAAATCTAAAATAATACAGAAAAATCATATTCAGATTTCAAGTAATCCAATTACAAGGGGTACTTATAAAATGAAAATCCTTTCACTTGTGATATTGTTTTTGGTCAAAAAACTACATGGGTC